TGAAAGTACATGGATGATCCCTCTGCAGTTGGAGCAGCAGCTGGTTGCATGATGTTGCTAAAATTCCTTCCTAGGGGAAGACACAAGTCATATGGACCCCTTGTCCTGAGGTCCCAGTGGCAAACAGAGGTATAATTCTGTCAAAGTTCACTCTGGGGAACCAATGAGTTTATTGGGCTTCTTTACAGAGTGTAGATGAGAGGTTACTCATAGTGTGAGTGCCCCGCCCCCCAGCAGGCCACCCCTGAAAGCCTTTATCCAGCAGGAATGGAGGCTTCTGCCTAGCGGCTTAGATGAAGTCCCCTTCCCCTAGTCTTCCTTCCTCTACCTATATTCAGTTGCCCCTCCCCCAGCCACATGCAGTTAAGTCAGAACTACATGCAAGTGATCGGGAGAAGCTGGATACTTAGGTGAGGGTCCCATGACCTTCCCTACCCCCTCTCTATAAGGGGGCACAAACAATCAACAAGCCCGGCTAGGGTAATCCTTTTGAAAAGGGGCGAAGCTGGACCCCACAAGATGATGGTTGCTTGGCTCAAAGGACAGTTACATGTGTAATTTGCATGAGGATTCACATTTGTAGATTCCTGTAAGGATGTTGAAGTCGGGTCCTCTTACCCCAGTTAAAGTTTAAAGATGCAGAGGCGCTCTCAAATGATGCACTATGTGATTATTTTTGTAAGGACTTAGACTCTCTTCTGGCTTGTTTCCATTTTATACTTTCCTTTCTGTTTATTCTGTCATTCTATTCTTGAACCATTCAGCAAGTATTTATTGACCATGAAACCTCATGCATGTTTATGAGTCAGTATGCTATGACATTCATAAGGAAAAATATAACAAGTTATGATAAGCAAAATGTCCTTTGTATAAGCAAACCCCCATATTTTAAGGAAAATTAAAGGTCTCTATATCCATGATAAAATGGCTGTGTACAATTAGGGTTTCTCTTATATAAACTTGTATGTATGTTTATATTATCATATAAGAAAGTTGGCTATCAAAATATTAATGGTAATTATCTCAGGCTGCTAAAATGTTAACTAATTCCTACTCCATATTCCTATAATGTGTGACAGTTGTGAACAACTTTCCACATTGTTTACATAATAAAAACAATAAGCTGTCATTGTACAGAAAAACAATTCATAGAGTGCATGCTATGCCTGGAAGATGAGCCTCTGGATCTCACAGTAGCAGATGCTCACCAGAGTTCTTTCTTTTACTTTGATGACACAAAAATTCCCCAAATGAAAATCAGTTGGAGCTCTGGAGTGGTAGTGACTTGCAGCAAGAATCCTTCTCTAGGCCTCTTACCTGAAGGGCTGGGTAAAAGCATTGACGGTGAGCTTGGCCTTAGCTTCAGTCCTCTCTTAGTCCTTGTCTCTTGATTGAAATAGGAGATGTAAGATGGTATCTCTGACATCAGCTAGTCTTCCTATAGTGGGGGTGGGCAAGGGTCTAGATGAACCAGTGAAAATCAATTGCAGTGATGGAAGACCCATCTGAGAAAAAATGTCCTGAGCCAGTGGGCCAGAGCCAACCCCTCTGCACATGAAAGATCTCACAGGCTTTGTTTATTGACACAGAAGGTAGTTTTAATTGCTCTGAAGGAATTTCTGGCATGCTTTGTCAGAGCTGGTCTTCAAATGTTTAATCAGCGGATTAGTGACAACCGGACCTACTGGAGAGGTCTACACAAGGGGCAGCTGCGAGAGCAATACTGCAATATGACTGTTTGCAGCAGAATAACATGGACAGGAAAACGCCGTCCACACATGAGATGAAGTGGCTTTGTGTTGTAGGTCTGAGAACCCTGGTGTTCTTCATTGGATTCATGACCCAGGCAACCTCCAGGCACTCTGTTGTTGACTTACTGAAAAGTGACCTTGGTAAGGTGATCTAGAGCTGAATTTTGCGCAATTGATCAAACAGATTTCTATCTCTACAACTAGCAACTTCAAAGAATATGCGCTTCCAATTTTAGCTCCAAGGAAACTGTATGCTTAGAATAGCATGATCCATGCTTTAGTTTTACTCACTCTTGGTGACCTACAAAATATTTTAAGAAAAGAACCAGAATAGGAAAAGCAGGCTGATGATATCATACCACAAAGCCATTTTAATCCATAGATAACTTGAAGTTTAGACCATAGTCTAAGATACATATGAAGTTATTAGGGAAATTGCTTCCTTAATTTCTCTCTTTGCTCTTGCAGTTCTTGGATAAGTCACTGGAATAAGGTGGTGAAAAAAATCAGTCAATAGTATTACATATCATCTCTGCTCCATTTATTCAAGATGAACTCCGAAAGAAATTTCTCTTTTCTCTTTGCAGAGAAATGCCCTCTCTAGGTCCTTTCCCTTCGTCCTAATTGGTATAAAATAGAAACTATGCTTTCTTTTTTATTATAAATACGTGTATGTATGTATGTACGTATGTATGTATTTTACATCATGGCTTCAGTTTTCCCTCCCCCCTCACTTCCCAGTCCCTCCCCCACAACCCCTCTCTGTTCTCACCCCCCAATCTCCTCCTCCATTTCTGTTTAGAAAAGGACAGGTTTCCCATGAGTATCAATAAAATGTAGCATATCAAGTTGCAGTAAGACTAAGCACCTCCCTGTGTATTAAGGCTGGGCAAGGCGAGGCTTCATCCTGCAACTGATGGGAACAGATGCAGACCCACGGCCCAACATTAGGTGGAGTTTGGGGAATCCTGCAGAAGATGGGGAGGAAGGATTGTAGGAGCCAGAGGGGTCAAGGTCACCACAAGAAAACTCACAGAATTAACTAACTTGGGTCTATAGGGGGTCACAGACACTGAACTGACAACCAGGGAGCCAGAACCATGGGACTGACCTAGGCACTCTGTATATATGTTACAATTCGTGTAGCTTGGCCATCTTGTGGGACTCCTAACAGTGGGAACAGGGGCCGTCTCTGACTCTTTTATTGGCTCTTGGGACCCTATTCCCCATACTGGGTCACCTTGCCCAGCCTTAATACATGGAGAAATTATGCTTTCTAATGTAGACTAACGAGACAATAACATTGTACTTCGAAGTCTGCATAGGAACATAGGAACACAGAGGCATCTTTGGCAAAATATGCTGATCCCCCCTTTTGAGTTCCTGAGGGTATCTGTGCCATGAATGTTGACATGGTGGTTTGGTATTGCTTTCACAGAAAGATACTTCTGGTCATTTCATACTGCCAAGAACTGATCTGTTTCCATCAAGTCTTCAGGGAACTAGGATCTTTGAGAAAGAACCTCTTTTAACCATGAAAACAGCTTAGCACACTGTTCTATGGATATTTTGGTGCTGATGACATTTTCATCCTCTGGCCTTTCAGATTAGTCTTTTTGTAAACCAGCTTGCCTAAACTGGTGATCAAATTTTGGTCATTGAAGAAATTAGATACAATAGGGGTGCTATCTAATATGCGTATAGGAGTTTTGGATTCCTTCAAACTGTTTGCAAAGCTCTTACAACAGTGAACAGCAAATGAATGTGGCTTTGTTTTTACTTTTTTTTTTTTTTAACAAGGAAGCAGAACCATTGGTGTCAATCAGCGTGTCTATGATCATGGGCCTACTTTGTGCTAGAAAACTTAAGGCTATGGATTCTGAGTCTCGGAATATACCTTTTCTCATGTTAAAGTCCTAGATAATAATTGGATACTCACTTAGAGGCAATCTCAGGCTGGAGAAAAATACTCCTTTGTGCTGAATCTCTGTGCAAGATGGTGACCATCAGTGTCCTTTACAGCAGGTTCCTTGGGGAAAGCAACTTTGTGCGCATTCACCTTAGCTCTTCTTGACTTCTTTTGCCTTGTCCTACTGGACTGTGACTTCATCACCTCTCGTCAAACCTGCAATCACATTCCCCCGCTTATCTTTTTTCTCCCCACTTCTTTTAGCTTCTAGTGACCACCATTCTCTCTCTCATTCTATGAAGTCAGATTTTTTTTTAAAACCTCTACCTATAAGTGAGAATTTGGAGTGTTTGGCTAAATTCTTTGTTGGACCTGGGTAGGAGTTGTGCCTTGTTTCTGAAATCATTGTCTGCTTGACAAATCAAAAGGTTTCAAAGACCATGTCCCTAGCCAGTGATACAAGCCTCAAAGAATTAAACATTCCTTGGTGAGTTCTAAAAGCGCAGGGAAGCCCATGGACGTGGTTCTCCTTCATGACTGTGTATCATACCCAAATACCTAACTCATAGGTATCTGTCTAAGGATTAAATCAGACAACAGTTGTATCTTAGCTAGTTTTGTCCCTGCCATGGACTGAACAGTAAATGGGCAATTGTTCTATTGTTTGCAGTATTTCTACAAGGCTTTAGTGGTCACAAATATAATTCATTCTGGACCATAAAACTTTTGTCCTCATAATCCCTAGAGTTTGGTACTAAACTAAAAATATATTTCAGGTGGTAAGAACGTAGATGACTAGGTTGCTATTTTTGTGTCCTAAGGCAAATTATTGAACTTTTCTAAGCCCATCTATCTATCTTTGTTATAAAACGAAGATAACACAGCCCTTAATTTCTTAAGGTTACTATGAGTACCATGCATGTGACAAGGTATATAATAAGCTGATGGTGGTCCCAGGGACACAGTTATAGCATTTTCTTGAGTTATGTTAGGATTTATTTTCACTGATATTAATATTGTCTGTAAGTCCTAAAGTATACAATATTACTGTTGTAAGACAGAACAGCGTATAAATAAGTTACTTCCCTGTCTTTAACCCTTAAGCCAGTATCAGTTCAGGCTGGTGGAGATTTGATCCTCATTAAGTAATCAATATACTCTCTTGGGTTGGAATTCTGTAAGAATCTAAGCTATTAGGTGGAACTTGCTGTATCAGGAGCAATCTCACCTAAGAGACTGGGTGGGGACTGGGGTAAGTAAATGTAGCTGTATGTTACCAAAATCTGAAGCATCACCACCCACCTCCTGAAGCCTGGATCTGAACCCCATGTTTGTCACAGGAGCCAAGAGAAACCCCCGAGAGAGAGAATAGTGGCACAATAATGAAGCATGAATTACCCAGATGAAAGCATCTATGGAAGCAAAGGTATTACCATTTATGCCTGCTACTCTTGACCAAATAGCAACATGGAAGCACCGAGTCAGTACTTTTAACTGCTTAATGGTTATTCCGTGAGACTGAATATATTAAAAAATAATAATAATTGTATGTGAGACAGTTTGACTCATGATTTTAATAATTACATACTATTTTGATCAAATATACGCAAGGATGATAAATTAAATGATTTTAACATCGCTAAGAGAGATTGTGCCAGGCAGACAAGAGAGACAAGAGCATAGTGTACTTTATTGATGACAGAGAAGTAGGCTGAATAGGCTAGTGAACAAGACAGATGAATTCATTGGTTGAACAGAGAACAAGGGTTTGGGGTCTGGAGACAAATGAAGACACAGAATAGGCCTCTTACTTTGCATATGATGAGGAATGGACAGTCCAAACACAGAGGTGATTTTTGAGTGTGAAAACAGAAATCACTGTGCAGGAACAAACAGGAACTGTGCACTGGTACTAAATCTTTGAAAGCTCTCGCACAACCTTGGGCAGAGTCCCTTGTTTTGATCAGACGGTGTTTTTCACTCATTTCTTCAAACCATTTATGGCAAAAGGTGCCTAGCTTTACAGGATGTAGCTTTGCATCCTGGAAATAAAATTTAAGTGAATACAGTGGTATTTTAAGAAAAAAAAATAACACCAGAAAGTCTCCTTTGAGATAGAGTTTGTAACGGAGGTTGATAGGAACACTGAAGAGAGAAACCAAAGTATAAGCTGTTTGGGAGAAAAGCAAAGAAGGAAAGAGAGAGCCCTCAAAGGAATATTTGTCATAGGATGAATGTGACTTCAAAAGTGGCCCAAGGCCACATAAGGGTAGAAAATACTATGTAGCTGAGCCTGTGTATGCTTTTTTTATGTGTATTATATATGTAGATATATTCTTTCTGTCCAGGTATGGACAAAAATGCACCAGGCATCAGTGTCCCTGGGGAGCTATGGTACTTTAGAAAATTATTTTTCTTTTTGTTTTTGCTTTTAGCAGTGTTAAGGCTCAAACCCAGCTCCTTGCCTGTGTGAAACAGGTATTTTTCCACTCAACTATACACATAGCTCTCCAAAGATACTTCTTAAAGCACATTTTAAGTCCAGGATGGAGGGGCTGAAGAAATGGATAGCTAAGTCATTAAGAGCTCTTGTTACTCTAGCAGAGGACCTAGGGCTGGTTCTCACCACCCATATTAGGTAGTTTTCAACCTGCTTCAACTCCAGTTTCAGGGGAGCTGATGCCCTTTTCTTACCTCCAAGGGCACCTCCATGTGGTAAATGCAGACAAGTAGGCACACAGACAGACATATAGATAACTTTTTTAAGTAAGATCGTAAGAGATGGTGTTTATTTTTAAATTGTGTGTGTGTGTGTGTGTGTGTGTGTGTGTGTGTGTGTGTGTGTGTGTGTGTGTGTGTGTGTTGTGAGATTCAGTTTAGGTCTACCCTGGATATAGAAAGTTCACATTTTCCTCTCTCATCTGTTTTAATAATGGCTTTGTAACGCCGATTTATCTTGTTTCATTACAACCCACAATAACACTTTCAATGTTGCTTTAATGAGATAAAATAGGAAAGATTTTGAATGACTTTCCAATGTTTGTGCTTTCTCTACCGTGGGCAAGAAAGAGAGAGAGAGAGAGAGAAAGAAAAGAGAGATCATACTTGTATGTCCAAAAGGATCATACTTGTATGTTCAAAAGCACAAAACCTGCAGTAGAAACATTGGGAGTTGGCATTTTAAGAGCTTTTGAGAAAGATGGCAATGGGTGCCTGCTTTACCTTTTGCCCTTTTCAAAATACTAAGGAGTTGGAAACTATTGAAACATTTTACATAGCTTAACAAATGAATAAATGTGAAGTATAAAGTATATGCAGTCTTTGAGAAGTGTCATTTTCACAAATTCACCTATCTTTAAAAAATAGAATTCATTAGATGTCGGTTAAGATTGTCTTGAATTTGCAATATGAAATTATTTAACACTTGTGACATGAAACCATATATGGTTGTCTCTGATTTCCCCAAACAAGAAACTATGGCAGGAGATCAGTGTAAAGAGGCTGGCAGTCCTCTTATTTAATGAGTGCCAACTTGAATCATAGAGTAGTTAATAATTATTAAGCGCTTGGGTGCCATTTACTGCACAAATGACCTGCTGTGGATTTCTTACCTGCTGGCGTGTAGTAATCACCTTACGAAGTGATGCTATTGTGGTGTGGGCTTCACATCTGGAGATACTGAAGCCTGGGGAGGTAAAACTTGCACACAATCCCCATGAAATAGATTAGGATCTGAAAACTGACAAGTTTGATTTTAGGGGTTACATTTTCCACCACTGTATAATTCATAACCCAACTCCTCCATAAGGCATATTTAAAGATGAACAGAGGCTGATCATGCTGGCATGTCATATTTCATTCCAGCACTCTGGAGGCAGAGGCAGGAGGATCTTTGTAAGTTTGAGGGAAGCATGGTCTATATAGTAAGTTTCAGGCTAGCCAAGCTGTAAGGTAAAACCCAGTCTCCCTGATTGGAAAGGTCTGGAAGCAGCATAGAATTCTAACTCCTCCTGCCTCTCTCTGCATGTGGAGTTGAAACATGAATGATCTGTTCAGAAGCTGGAACAAAATAAAAAGTAAACATGGTTGCATAGACATATAAAGCAACATTACTTGTTTTATTAAAAATGCCTCTAATTTGGTGGATTTAGAAGGTTAGTGGTTAAAAGTCATACTCCCGAGGGGACCTTTATTTAAAAAAAAAAAAAAAAAAAAAAAAAAAAAAAGCAAAAGAACTTTCCAAGAGATGGAGCATGGATTGGTCCCAAATGACAATTACTAAACTAAAAGGTGCTCATTCTGAGGTTATTAATCTCTGTTAATCATTCCATGCCTCTCTGTACAACTCAGCACAAAATGAAACCAGGGCTTGGCAATTATCCAATTCCTTTTTTAAGACCCTTGCCTCTTAGTGTGGATAATCCAAAGCCCTCACTGGACCTTTGTGAATCCTGGTTACCCAGCTGATGTGTGTGTGTGTGTGTGTGTGTGTGTGTGTGTGTGTGTGTACATGCTCTATTCTCTTCTTGTCACCTCTGTGTTTCTGGTAATTCCCAACCTGCTTCCTGCATTTATCTGGACTCTAATCAGTCACTGTGTTGTGAATTCAGGATAGTCTGCAGTGGTACCCCAGAAGCATGTCCGTTCCCCTCACCAATGCATTGCCAGGCACTGAGAATGACTCAGAACCTTTTGAGCGATCACACTGTCTTTTTGCAGAAAGATTATGTCTCCACCACAAAGGGACTGGCTAATTCTATAGCAAGCAGAACAACAATGAACCAAAATAACAGAGCCTTGTGCATCAGAGTCCAATCCCTGAGGCTAATTGTTAGTTTGTTTAAGTTTTGCTTGCAGGCAGATAAGGGGCTTCTCCATTTGGAAGCTTGGCTGAGCTAGTGTGAAGACAAGACTATAATTCAGACATCCAAGTGAAATGCAAATAGTTTCGTGTATTCATGGTCACTAATAACCTGTAATCAAAATATAATTTGTGAGGTTAAAAACAAAGACACCATTAGTTTATTTGCTTGGGGGTGTAATTGGAACTATGTGTCAGTCTGTTGATTTCCCTCCTCTGTTGGAGAAAGTGAGCTGGATGGTGAGTCCTGGGACAGCCATGGTTCCGTTTGTGAGACTCTCCCCTCCTGAACTTTCCTAAGCCTATGGCTTTAGTGGTGGCAGTAATAGCAGAGATGGAAAGGATACTCTTTCTCAGTGCTTTTTCCTCTTGCTAAGTGAGCAACTGTTTCTATTCCAAATCCCCTGCAGTCATACTTCAACTGGCTAATTTTCTTGATGCATGTCCACTCATCCAGCAAATATTTTGCACATAATTATCAAGGGCCAGTGAAGCTTCTAGTACTGCACTACACCTCAGGGTTTGCCATGGTTATCTGGAGATTCCTCATACATTCTTTGCAAGATTTAGAATCTCTCTGTTGCCTTTCAGATTTTGGGTATCCCTAATCACTCCTCCGCTGGCACCAAGTAAAGAATTTTTTTCCTTGGCATGAAATACATGCTCTGGTGAGATGTGCATCCTGGGGAACAGGGTATTTTGATCGTGGGGGTGTGCAAACAGAGAGGTAGAGAAGCTGGTGGGTCAGATTACTCCATAGAAAACCTATGGTTTCCTTTGCCTGGTTATTTGCTCCGAAAAGGGAAGACATTTAAACTCTACGAAAGCATGAAATGCCTTCTCCTCCATCAAGCAGAAAAAAAGGCACTGTGGTGATCTACTTGGTACTGTGGAGGAATGAGGAAGGTTATCCATGGCAGACACTTGAACCAGCATAGGTCATAACAAAACAGTGAATTCCATCTTGGTCTTGTCTTTCTCTGCTTTTGAGGCAGCATCTCCATGCAGCATCACTAGAATCTATCTAGAGCCATTTCTCCCCCTTGTTAGTGTGCTGGTTATGCCCTCCACCCAAAGGTAAGAGCCTGTCTCACTTGCTCAGCATGTACGCCATGGCCTAATACAGCACCTAGCACTCAGCACAGTGTTAAATGCAGTCCAGGCTTCATGACTAGTGCTTTGAAACCAATTGTAGCATTTAGAAAGTTGTTAAATAAACCAAAATTTCTTAATAACAGTTACTTTAAGGGGTAAAACTTAGTCACTAAACAACACTATAATTAAAAAGGGATTCTTCTGATTAGGACTTTTCATGCCCTTTTAGATTCAGGTCCAAAAAATTCATTTCAGCACATTTTTTCTGTGTCTTTGGAAACTAAGAGCCCAGCAATGCTATTTCCTTCACTTATCCCTATGGCAACCAATCAGACCTCTGGTGTATAATGGTATATTCTTCGGCATCTCAGGTTCTGTTGCTCAGAAAACCTTGACAAATTGTGTGGGTGGATGGTGTGGTCAGTTTCTTATTTACTCAATGGATATTCACGAGGCATTTACTGTGTGCC